CGGCGGCGGCCGTGGGACGGGGAGCCGGAGCGAATCGGAGGGGTGGGGGGTGGGGGTGGGGCAGGAGGGAATGGCGACGGAGCCCCCAAATTTTGAAATGGAAGCCGAGCGAGCAGGACGACGGAGCAAAACCTTTTTTTTTTGCCACAAATGCCGCCGCCGTGCTGGTTGGGCTAGCAGGGCCTCCTGGCCGAAGCCCAGTTTTAGTACTCGGTATGGGCTTTAATCAGTCAGGTAGCCCGTCTGGCCCGGTTAAGTCGGCCTCACTACTTCCAGCGCGGTGGGGCTCAACTGTTTCTGCTCTGATGATTTCTCAAGCGTCCGGTGAAGCAAGCGGCGGAGCGTCCCCGCGGCAAGGGATGGCGGCGTGGGCGGAGCAGCTGCAGCGCGAGCTCGCCGGCCGCGGCCTCGCCGTCGCCTCCGTTCCAGGGAAGGGCCGCGGCCTCGTCGCCTCCCGCAGCTTCTTCCCCGGTAACCCCGCCCTCCCTTCCCTCGGTCGCAGCCCTTCTTTGCCCCTATACGCTGACCTGCCCGCGAACCGCTCGGTGAAATGCCCAGATGAATGGCACACGTAGTTGTTGCCGGGATGGACGATACTGGTCCTTGAGTCGAGCTTGGCCCGCTGGTTTATGTATAATCAAGCTCATGTGGTGGGATTCTCCGGCGGTTTTGCAGGGGAGGTCATTATTTGCCAAGAACCCTATGCTTCTACGCCCAACAGGATTTCGGTTGGATCGAGCTGCGACCACTGCTTCGCCTCCGGCAACCTGAGGAAGTGCTCGGTTTGTCGAGTAGCTTGGTACTGTGGGAGCGTGTGCCAGGTGCTGACTCTGCCCTTCAATTGTTTCACGTTGTTGATGGACAGATACATACTTCTGTGGCCATGCGTAAATATTCTTTGTACTGATTGTTATGCGTTCAGTGATGTCACTTCTTTCAGTGAAATTTTGTTACGCAGAAAGAAGAATGGAAGCTGCATCAACTTGAGTGTCAAGCCATCTCAGCGCTGACAGAGGAAAGGAAGAAGATGCTTACTCCTACAATCCGTTTGATGGTGAAGCTTATACTAAGAAGAAAACTGCAAAGCGAGAAGGTATTGGGCTGGTTTGGTCTATTCCTGACAAAAACTTTCTGTACAGTACCTCTGTATTTTCAGTGCATCAGTGTTAGCTGCATCCTGTTAGCTTGATACTACTTGTATTTCCAGGCCATTCCATCTTCAGCAACAGATAACTACGATCTAGTGGATGCGTTGGAGTCCCGTATCCTGCCCACTTGACACATTGATTCATGATAAATTATAAAGATTATGCTTTGTGAGTGTTGGATTGACTTCGCATGAATAGACATCTCGAAGGTTGATGATAATCAATTGGTCCTCTATGCTCAGATGGCCAATCTTGTGCAGCTGATTCTCCCTTCAATTGAACTTGATCTTAAGGAAATTGCACATACTTTTTCTAAGGTAATGCCCAATTGCCCATAATATGTTTTTGTCCTTAGGATCTTAAATGTTTTAACTGCTATGGTAGACAGAGATTCAAATTAATTATGCGATGCATTATGCTGATGAAAACAGCTGGTTTCAGGTGTTATTGTGAGTGTTTGATGCCTTTGTGTTTCTCTACTCTGATAGCTTTTTAATTTCTGAACGTTGAGATCGAGTGTTTGGTCTGAACCCCTCAGAGATGTCCTAGAACTTGCTAATCCTGACAGATCTCGAAAAGGGTGGTGGCACTAGAACCAAATCTACATGCACATCAAAACTTTCTATCTTAGCCAAGCTAGCACCTCTGCCCCGCCTTTTCCTCCCTTGTTAAGTCCTAATTTCCTGATATCTCAAGTAACCAAGGACTCATATGGTCTTGTTTGAGTAGAGTAAAATCAGGTCTATATACTTCCTGTGTAGATAAACCAGCATGCTACTGGAGAAAAGACGTGTGATCTCCAAATATTGTGAAATGAGCCCTTTTTGTAAATCGAAAAGCACACTTTACAGTTAAAAAAATGTAGTTCTTTACGCAAGTACATATACATTCTTACTAACCTGTAAAATTTGATAATATGTTTATTTAAGGGCTACACAAAAAAAGAAATGTATGTGGATCTATAATAGACGCTGTTCGGTATTATAGATCCACATATTTGTTGTTTCTGCACCCCACAAATGAAAACAGTTATTATCGTTTTTTTACATCATGTAGAACACATCTATAGGTACACGTGGAATTGTTTTCAATTTTTTATGAAACTTTGAAATATGATTTAAAAAAAAAATTGGACACAGGGGACCTGGGAGCTAAAACACCTCTCTCATGTTGTCGTAATACTTATTCTACCCCAGTTATACAATTTGCTGTGTTCTTCGGTCATTGCTATCAATAGTTTGGATCATTTTCCAATGAAGAGTATAGAAACACAAGGGCATCAAACACTCAATATTTTGAACTTGATCTGAAGGAAATTGCACATACTTTTTCTAAGGTAATGCCCAATGTTCTGATAGCAAAGCACTAAATTAAAGTGTGTCTCCGCCTAGACCATGGCCATGTTGAGATCGAGTGAATGCTCGGATGGTAGCTATGCCTCACAAGGTGTGGACTCCGACCTTTCGTTGTCGCATTTCTAGGTGCCTGACTCTTCTTTATTATAAGGACACTGAGGGGCATCTTCCCCTTGAATGATTGGAGTTTGTTTTAGAGCATAGTCATTTTCTGTAATTCTAGTCCTTTGTGTAAACAGAAGTTGGCATTGTGTATTGTCACGTGCTTGAGATCTTAGCTGTAATTGGAAGCCTTAGACCCAACCCCCTGGGCTTGGGCAGTGCCGTGATTGCAGTGCAGCCGACCCAAGTACAGGTGTGCAACTGTGGGAAGGGCTGGGTTCGGAGACAAATCTCCCTTTTCTTGTTAATTATTTCTTGCTTGATAATAAAACTGTGCCCAAGTCCTTTTAAAGACTGGCCCTAACAAAGTGATATAATCAAACCTCAAATGTAACTGGAAGTAAATATATTAACTTGGAAGGAAGCAAATAAAAGATAGCTCTATGTCGGCCTGCAACATCCACCTGGCTTTCCCATCACCTGCAGTTTTGTTTCCTGTCCCTACCGACAGTAACTGATCAACTTACTGTCGGAGCTCTAGCCTTGTCGTGCCGGTGGTAGTGGTAGCACCACATGACACCTTATGATACATAACTTATTTATGAAATAAGTGTGATTGGTTTATTGTCTTCTACATGTGTGCAGTTCACCTGCAATGCTCATACCATATGTGATCCTGAACTGAGGCCCCTTGGGACTGGACTGTTTCCTGCTATATCAATTATTAACCACAGGTAGTATCTGAGCTTTTGTTCACCTGTTTAGCATTTCTCTCAGATTTGATCATTTGTTAAATCATTGTACTTGTATTTACCCTTTTTTGGTATAAAGTTGTGTACCAAATGCAGTTTTGCTATTTGAGGGTCGGACTGCATATGTACGCGCGTTGCAACCCTTGAGTAGCAATACTGAGGTAAGGAATCTATTTTTTGGTCTTCTGCCTTCGTCATTCATTTGTTAATATGCATGCTATGCTTTCTTTTTCTTTACATTTCCTCTCATTCTGGAGAATGTTGGATGAATATGCTTTGTCAGGTATCAATAAGTTACATCGAAACTGCAGCAACCACTTTGAAGAGACACAATGATCTCAAGCAGTACTTCTTCACCTGCACATGTACCCGATGTATTAAGGTTTTCCATTCTGGTTCCCCGCTTTTTTATTTTCCCCAGGAAATTAACATCTGACGGGGGCATATAATATGCACTAGCACCTTTGAGGTTCTGCTAGTGTACTAGGCCACTAACAAACACATTTATAACATGTGAAAAATACAGAAAAAAAATCATGACATATATATGATATATATGTACCTTGCTACAAAATTTCAAGTCAGAGCTCTGTTACATTTTCGTCAATGTTACAGGATTCTGAGGAAGATGCTCTCCTGGAGGGATACAGATGCAAGGACCAAAAGTGTGATGGCTTTCTGCTGCCTGACTCGGGTTGGTTGGAAATTAGGAAAATAATAAATGAAGAGATGCAACAAAGAAAATACTAAACCATAAGCAATTGTTCTTTATCTTACATTCTATCTCTATTCAACATCTCCAGGAAAGAAGGCTTATGCATGCCAGAAATGTAGCATTTCTAGAGATGAAGAAGAGGTAAAGAAGGTGTCAAGTGAAATATTACTGTTGTCTGACAAAGCTTCTTCTCTTCTTTCATCTGGAAGTATCCTTCGCTATCATTTTTTTCTGAAATAAATATATCTAATAAGCTTATGTTTTGTATTTCACAAAATTTGCTACCTTAATAAGCAATATAGATAATAGTGAAGCAGGTTCAGTGTACAAGATCATTGAGCAGTTAGAACAGCAGCATTACCATTCTTTCTCGATCACTTTGCTTCACACACGTGAAACACTCCTGA